CAACCATTCAGATCGATCTTTGATGTCGTAGGAAAGGTGTACGTTGGTTCATGTTTGCACTGACTAGTATTTTTTTTCTCTTTCTTGTTTTTCCCAGATCTATGGGCTATTCCCACATATTTTTCGTGGTGGATACCCTCATCAAGTGTCTGAAGATGACTTCTTATGCTGGTCTCCAGAACCTCTCCAGCCTGATGTTTTTATGGTGTTCAAAGTAATGATCTTGGATTCTTCCTCACTGGCTAGGTTACAGCTTATTAGGAAACAACTCTAGTAATCATTGGTATTTCACTGATTGGCTGGATGAGTTACCTGATATTAGTGACCAATAGCAAAATATTTAGTGCACATTGGTGGAATGATTCAGGGCTTCAGACATTATCGGTTAGTAGGAAAGAGTCGTATGTTAGGTCTTCATGCTCTATGGCTGAGTGGTTTAGAATGCCTACAGCTAGATAGCCGGATCAATACTGATGCCTCACTGGGCAGTTTGGTTAAGGCATCTGACACTAGTGGCTAATAGGAACCAGCCAGGTGTGCATTGAGATACTCACTTATAAGAGATATACATGGAGGATGTTCAACAGGAGTATTGCCGTTTCCCCATAGGCCCAATAGACTTTGAAGGAGAAGAAACTTGCACTGTTTGGGTGTGTCTACACTGTCGCCTTAGCTTGAAATAAGCTATGCAGTTTGAGCTATGTAAATTCTGTAGCTTATTTCGAGTCTATTTTGAAATAGCTTATTTCATAATTTAGTGCTGTCTACATAGCGCCAAATTTCAAAATAAATGGCTATTCTGCAATGTCCCTTAATCTTCACGGAATCAGGTTTATAGGGACGTCAGAATAGCGAACCTGTTATATTTTGAAATAATGGGCTTGTTTCAAAGATGCAGAATAGCTATTTTGGGATACTGGCAGTATCCTGAAATAGCGCTGCAGTGTAGATGTGTAGCCTTTGAGTCAGGCCTGATAAATCAATGCAAGGGGGATCCATTGTCTCACTGCTGTGAGATATGAGTAATTCTGACTTAAATCAAAGTGAAGGACTTATGTGTAGCTGAGAGGGAACTGGGTCCCTGCTTTATAAGAGAGATGAACAGCCTAAGGGACAAAGGGCAGATGAGAGAAAGAAAGGGAAAGATGGGTTTCTGATATCTAAACTTTCAGCACATTTTCTCTTTTATTTCTCTCTTTCTCTCTTCAGGAAATGGGCTTGAAAATCATGTCCAATGCCCATATCAAGAAGCCAAGACAGTGCGTAACGACTGTGGCTGTGACACAAATGATAGTGACAGTACTGGAGAGCACAGTCCCCATGCTAACTGTACCTCCAGTTTTCACAAGTGAGCATTTGCTAGCTATCCTTTCTGCTTCCTCTTACTTCTCACTAGAGGGTTCAGTCTTGTAACTGAAAGCACAGAGCTTAAGGTAAGCAGTCCATGCTGTGATTGCAAATGATGGAGGAAAACAGAGGCAAAACATTGCTCTGCACTGAAGTTGCTTTGTGGGCTGC